AATAATTTTAAAAAAGGAAGAAATGCCCAAATCTTTTGTCCAGATACCCAGATACCCCCAGAGTTTCAGGAAGACCAACTCTGGGATTTGGAGTCACCCGGGATCTTCTCTCTTTATAGCCAGAAGACAATTTTCAATTAATGCCACCAAGAGCATGCTCAGGTCTTCTCTGAAAGCCCACGTGTGGTTTGATGTGTTGGTGGCACAGCGGCACGGGGGCAACGCTTCTTGAAAAGAGCTTCCACCCTGTGCGTGAGAGCAAAGCATCTCCTGTGGTGCTGAAGAGTCTCGGGAGATCCCTCTGCCATGGGGGCATGGATGGAGAGGAGAGGAGAGGCTGGTTGTGAGGGATGGCCAAGACTTCTTGACAGTGACTCTAGCCCATTAGCAGCCCTGGCACCAGCCATGGCTCCAGAGTGGGAGCAAAATCAAACCAGATGTTCGTCAGTATGCATACTTGAAACAAAATCACTGTTGGGTTATTTTTGATAATCAAAGTAATTGAATTTGAAAATCCTAAAAATTAAAGGAAATCATTATAATAAAAGTTCCATGCTGGAGAAGTCACATGTTTCTTTTAGGAAATGTTGACGCTGACTTGCATGGCTTGCTCTGAAGGGCTCCTGTGCAGTTGCTGCTCCGGATGAAGTTGCTCCAGAAGGGAAGGGAGCGGATGCACCCCCAGTTCATGGGGTATGTGAGAGTGAGGGGCTGCTCCGGTAGCATGTGATATCTCACCTTTGCTTCAGGCTGTTGGGTCCCGGAGGATTTCTTAGGATTTCCCACAGCTGCTTCTTTTGCCTGTACTGGCAGCTAAATCCATTCCCATGGCAGTGCAGGGATCTGCGTGGGATAAAATGGATCCCAGACACCATGTAGAGAAAAACTCTGACAGGAAGGCAGACAGCTACTCCTTTCCTCCCAAAGCCCAGGCCTGGGGCTCGTTCTGAGCAGGATCCTGGGCAGAGAGAAATTTCATTCTGTCCTGTGTTGTCTGGAGCAAACTTCTAATTCTGGTGTTTTTGCCATGTGTTTGCACATCCCCTCTCACCTCATCAGACAGCTCTTGCGTTTCATAGCCTAGCTTTAAAAATAACCCCCGCGTCGCCGAAGGGGAGCGTTGCTGTCGAGCTGCACCTCAGGAGGCCGTCGTGGTGAGCCGGAGCAGCGGGTTCGCAATGTGGTCACCTCGGCTCCTTCCTGCTCCTCCAGCTCTGCAGAGAGAAGTGACATCTTTTTGGTACCTTGAGATCTGCTGCCTTCGCGCAAACTTCTCTTGTAGACCCTTCTCGTGGGAGTTGCCAGCTTTGACCCTGGTCCCATTGCCAGGGCTGCTCTGACTCAGCGCGGGGATCGTGGAGAAGGCATTGCTGGAGCCTGCCGGGCTAGGAGACATGTTCCATCTGCCTTGAATCAGGCAAAACATCCACAGAGGCCAAGGGCTGCTCCAGCAAACAGGAATCTTTCGCTTTGTTGCCAACAAAAGTGTTTTTTCAAGGCATTGCTGTTGCCAGAAATCTGTGGAGTCAAGACCTGGTATTTCTCCACTTCTAAATAGCACAAACCCCACTTCACTTTCTGCCAAGTAGAAAAGCTCTTGGCTCAGGGGATAAAACCAGGCATAAAGAGAGATTCCTCTCCTTTTCAGTAATGATTAACTGGTGGAAGAATTACCTTGCAGGGCTGGGAGGTGGAGGCATAGCCGGGATGTGCTTTGGTCTGCATATAGGAGCTCAATCGGCGCTTGCAGGATGTTTCCAGCCTGTCTGTCCTTCTGAAAGAGGGTTGGGCACCTTTCACAGGTGCCTTAGGCACTAAGAACAGCACGAAGGGCTTGCTGCCACAGCGCCTTGGCAGCTCAGCACAACGCTCATGCGTGAAATCCCCAGGTAATTTACCCGGAGTGGGATCCTGCGATTTGCTGACATTCCCCATAAACTGAAAGGAACATAAAAGAAATGAATGCAGACTTGCTAATTTGGAAACTCATTTTAAATAACTTCTTACTGATGCGGTAACGGTTAGCAGGGAGCCTTGGTGATAAATAACAGTAGCTGAAATCCTGAATTGGCTATAAATTGCCATGAAGAAGAGGAATCCCATGCACGAGGCTGAGCTCAGCTCCCGGAGTTACTCCACACACCACTGTCATCTGCAGCCACGAGTGAAGTCAGAGATGGTTTCAGCTGCACGAGGTCTTAGTAGCAGATGTCTGGACACACACAGGCTACACGATCACAGGCATCCTCAAATGCCAGGTCTGCTTTACATCTCTTGCTGCTTCTGGGAGCTGTAGGGCTTAACACCAGCAGGTTACCCGCCTCCCTCCTCTGCCAAGCACTCCTCCGTTCTAGCTGCTTGCTCTAATTGCTTATCTAGTGGGAAGATCCCAAAGGGATCATTACTTTTCCGCGCAGAATGCTTTTCCCGCTCACATTTCACATTATCTCCTGAAGGCGTCCGCGGCGCTGAGCGCTGACGCTTGCAGGGCACGGTGGCTTGCTCCAGTCACAGGGCTGCAGGGCCAGCAGGGCAGAGCTGCTGTGCTCAAGGGGGCTGCCAGGCGGGACCGCGTGGTTCACAGCCACACCAAGGGCTGGAAGGGTCCTACGTGGTGGGACCGTGGCTGTGGCCACCGCAGGGGACACAGGATGAGCTAAGTCGGAGCCAACACTAAAGGAGGCAGAGGGACAGACGCTGTGCTATAAGCAGCCAAAGGAGACTTGCATCTCTTCAGAGGCCATCAGACAGAATAAATATCATTAGGATGAGAAAGCATCTAGTATGGAGAAAACTCACCAGAGCTCAGACCCTAGAAAATCTCCCCATTTGTGTTATTTCTGTTGCCCAGATCTTTCTGGGGACATTCCCTCTTACAGGAGGAGCTGGTTCGCAAGCCTGGTCCACTGTGGGTGTCTGCGGATCTCAGCCAGACGTGAGAGGGAGGGAGGCAACTGGGAGGCTGAAGGATGTGTAAGTGCCGGTGGTGAGAGCAAAGCGTGAACTCAGGCTCTCTCTGCTGAGCACGACTGTTTTGGAAGCTGGGAGTCTGCGCTGTAGCAGGGATGAAACTAGGATTCTTTTCACGATATTTTGCTTTTCAAAATTGCTGCTGCAGTTGCTCAGGTAGGTATGATTGCAGCAACGTGCTCACAGAGCACAGACTTTGCTTGTCAGATGGGGAAACTGCTGTCAAAACCACCAGGTTTGTTGATATGTGTAGCTAGCACATGGCTCACCAATAACTTGTAAAGTTGTCTGCTCGGTGAGGACCTCAGCCAGGTCCCCAGAGCAGCATCCACCAGTGCTGTCCTGCAAAGACATTGCAGTAGCAGACTGCAATACTTCTCCACAAAAAAAAAAAAAAAAAAAAGAGGAAAATAAATGTCTGTGTCTGTCAAAACCTTGTCCTCACTGTGGTCGGGCACTGCGTGTGCTGGGGATGAGTCACACAGCCCAGAGACTCTTCAGCTCTTCAGCTTTCCAGGTAGGAATCTGGCCATGGAGAAATCTGACTCAGTCCTACAAGCTAAGGCTCCCTCAAATTTCCTCCATCTGTGGAACGTCAGGCAGCCCCATCCGCTGAGGTGGTTATAGCCTGGTTTTGTTTATCTGCAAAGGAAATTGCTGTACAGATTGTGAACTGTGGCAGTGAGACCACGAAAGTTAGGCAGATCATCTGGCACAGAGACATAGCAGATCTTTTCTGACGATGGATTTGCTCGAGAATGATGGATGGGAGTTCAACATTTCACTTGGTTAAGATGTTTTGAGTCTACTAAGTGCTTTGATTTATTATTTCATCCTAATTGTATGGTTTTGGCCTCACTAGACTCAGTATTACTAGCTAGGCTCCCTGCCCACATATTCCCTACCTCAAGTTATTTCTAAAAGTTGTTGGATCATAAATGTTTCTTCTTTCTATCCCTTCCCAGATAATGGGGGTTAGACCCCAATAGATGTCGTGATTTATAAGGTACTTTCATGTCAAAATATATGATAAATATCCTTGAAATATGTTATTCCAAGTGACTCCAGGGAAATAAACACTGCTTCAGGAATGTGGCTTTTGGCTACACATCTTTCAGAAGGCATGATACGCTGTCTAAGAAACATCTCATGTTAGACAAACTGCTCACAGGCTGCTGACATCCAACAGCAGCCAGAAATGAATGTTTCATGCACCAGAAGATGCAAATCTCATCTTAATCCTGCCTGTCTTGCGACCAGCTTGCCGTGTGCCACTTGCTGCTGTACCTTGCAGGTGCATCTCTCGCTGCTTGCAAGGAGGAGAGTTGCACTCCCTTCCCTTGCTCCACAGGCGTGCAGGGTTCCCAGGGCAGCTCCTGCAGCCGGCGCAGACCTGGAGATGCCGATGGGGAAGGAGGGCAGCTCTGTGTGGCCGAGAGATCCTGTGCTTGGGATAGGGACATGAATTTCCGCATGCCGCTGGGAGCAAAGTGACCTGTTTCACCCAGATTCCAGCTTTCCCAAGAGTAAAGGCAGTGGGAAACCAGTCTTGTGAGAGCCATCCCATGAAACAAGAGCTCAGAGAGACACTATGAGGGAATATTGGGCCCTCCCCTGCCAGGAAGATCTTCCTCTTCCTCCCTTTCAGTGGCTGAGTGCCCTTGTCTAAGATTTGGGTATTCGGAAATTCAGCTAGCTATGAGCAACGCAGCTGTGAGTAACTCTGACCCGACCTTTCCAGCCACTTCTCTTGAAGTGCTGGGGTTGGAGCACAGCCCTGCAAACCAGGAGACTGATATCAGAATTGCTTCATGCAGCGACGTTGGGAATAGATAATAAACCCCACTAAGAGCTTGTTAATTAGGGTTCAGCTGATGCATATAAGTGGCTCTCTTGCCCCCTTTCATCCCTTACTTACAGCTGTTTCCTGGGGGTGGAATTTAGGCAGGTGAGATGGATTAATGCTGCTCAGGGAGATGGTCAAAAGCCCCAGCTGCAGAGTCCCATTTTCCTCCTGGCTGTGGTGCAGCAGAGTCTGGCAGAGGTCTGGCAGAGCCAGGGTGGCCAAGGTGTCTGCTGAGCCTGGGTGAGTGGCTGGTTGGAATGCAGATGGTGCATTTGTTCTGGGAATGTGGCACTGGCAACAAACCTAATTTGGGGATGTGATAGAGAGGGCTGTGAAGGAATGAAAATGGAGCTTTGAAATGCTATGCATCATTGCTGCTGGGACTGATCCTGGCTACCTAGCAGACTGGAACTAGAAAATGCATGAACATCTTCCCCCTCTTTTGGACCAAAGAAATGAAGAAAAAATAGAAAAAGGGGTTTGAAGTAGGAGTTAATTAAAAAAAAAAAAGTTTTTTTTAATATAGGGTGCTCCTTGCCCCGGGAGAGACCTGTACCTCTAGAATTTTTGCTGTTCGGTGTTGTGGCGGACTGTTGCATACACCTACTCCTTTCGTACTAAGTATCCTGAGCATGAAGACCCAGGGGATATCTGGCAACGTTTATTCCCAGCTATTTGGGACTGCAGGTATGGGAGGGTAGGATTCTGGAGCTTCCTGTTTGCCCTAGCCCTGATCTGCAGGTTCATGTTGCCTGAAACATGCAATGAGAAGTTCCCCAACCCTTCCCCTGGAGCATCCTATGCTATATTTCTCACTCAGTTTCTCTATTTACCAAACTTGTGATTCTTCTGTGAATATGTAAGTGGGCCTGAACTGATGCTTCCTCAACAGCATCACAGGGAGAAAAACTGTTTACTTTGTTATAAAGCAAGGCTGGTGGTTAAGACTTTTTAGGGACTGAGGCAACAAAGCTGTGGGGTTTTGCATTCCTTGGCTTCCAAATCCTAATTCTGGCACTTGTCTCCTGTGAAGTTGAGTCAAATTCCTCCAATGCATGTGAATAAATGCTGTGTAACTTCCCTTCAGGGATTTGTGTTAATGTTTTAAAGGCATCTTTACTTCAAACCCTCGCAAAAATGAAACCAAACATACTTTGAATGAAACAACTGAGCAGATGACTTGGAAATGGCTCTTGCACGGTGCTGGCATTGCACGGTGTAGGCATATGTCCCCTGGTTCTGTGAACTTAAAAGTAAGCGAACAGTAATCGTGTTCACAGATCTTGTTTCCTTCTTACAGAGATCAAAGCAAGAAGCAGGCTGGATTCTTGTAGCAGAGATGGCTTTTGAGAGATATCCTCGCTGAAGCTTCTTATGGAAAATACCCAAATATCTGCAGCTGAGAGAAGAAATAAACAGTTCTTTTTGCACAGCCCTGAACCTTTGCTGCAAAACATGGATTTATTCTGCACATACCCTCAGCTGAGGGGCAGAATCTCCCCATAGGTGATGGCAGAGAGGGACTCGGAGTGCTGCAAAACAGAGCGTGGGAGATGCTGTTTGCTGCTGTGTTTTTAGGGCTGTGCTGAAGTCTGGGTAGGAAGGGAAAATGCCTGGACATTCTTGTGGAGATGTGAGAGTAGTGAGCAGTTCTCTGCTCATCTGGCTGCAGTTACTGATTGCTGGGTGCCAGGTAAGGCAGCAAGGGTGTGAGAGCAGGGAGGGTGCACCAGCTCACCTGGTTGTCTTGGTCTCAGCATCTCCCTGGGATGCCAGTGGTCTCCCATGGTGAGTGTCTTGGGATGGTCCAAGGGAGGCTTGCAAAGGGGAAGAGGGAGGCTGACTAGCCAACAGGACAGGACTTTGAGGCAATGATTTAGTCAGGTTTAGGACTAATGCAGGATAACTGCAACTAGCCTTGGTTTTTTATTTTTTGACAATGGCAGGGCTAGGACCCATAGGGTTACAGTGGTTTTGAAACAATGCCCAACTCCCTGCACTCGATTTTTAGGACTCAAGGGAGAAAATATTCCTTGAATTATAGTCGAACTTGTGGTGTACGAGCACACGATGTGCGGTGGCTCCAAGTGCTCTTGTTCCTGGCATCCCATTCTGCATTTCCCTCCTGGTGATGGTAGTGCAAAAGCCACGTGTAACCCGGTAAGGCGCATCAGTGCCTACCTGGAAGATGCTGCCTTTATTTGGAACGCCAGGCAAGCTCATCCTGCTTCCTGGAAGCTGCAGGGAAGCCTGCCCAGCAAGTCCTTCCTGTGCAGCAGAGGCTGGACTGCAATGGTGCAGCTCCCAAGTGCCCAGGGGTGCCTCTAGTTCACTCGTGCATTTCTATGTCTGGAGCTTTACACAGGGGGAAGTGCAGGGAGCAGCTGAGATGTTTCAGCAGTCACTTTCTGGAAGGGCTGCACTTGGCAGGCAGAGGGACCTGGTGACACTTGCTCCCAGTCTCCAAGCCTGTAGAAGGCTCTAAGATGCCTCTGGCTCTGTGTTGCATCTGCTGTGAAAGCAGGAAGAGCATCTGTGTAGCACCTGGCTGGGAAAATGGGTGTTTCCTCTTACTTTTTGCACCAAACAAGCTGTTGGGAGCACGGCTGATAGGGCTGCTGTTCTGACTTTAGGTGGAAAAAAAAAAAAAAATCACACTCAACAGAAAGAGCAAGTTGATACATGAAAAGGATGAAGCTTTTTAAAGCAAATACCGGCGGGGAGGAAAAAGCACAGGGTGTGCTGTAAGCTACGTGCTGGCCTCCTGAGGTCTGTGCTCGCGCTGCCAGGAAAGGCAAAGCTGCTGGTGTGCAGAGCCCTTAGCTGGCTGCCGTGCTCTGGGCTCCTAGCAGGAGCTTGCGTGCTCCTGGGATGCCCAGGGGTTGCGTGCTCTGGGGCAGATGCTGGTGGTACCATCTCCTACCTGGATGTCTGGCCTTGAACACTCCGGGTGCATCCCCAGATGCACCTTGTGCTCCTGGGAGGCATCTGGGTGGGTTTGCAGAGAGACGGGGTGTCCTCGAGACACCTTCTGCAGAAAGAGCTTCTCCCTGCCTGGGAGGAGCTGCACTCCGAGCCCACGTTTGTCTTGCATGGTCCCCTTGCTCTTCCTGCTCTGTGCAGGGGGAAATGCTGCTCGGAGCCTCCCAACATTCCTGCCTGTGTTTCAGGAAGTTCCAGGCTCATTTTTCCAGGACTCTGAGGTATTCTTCCTTAAGGAATCCTGGTAGTCTCTGGCAGCTTCAGAAATGACCCTTTGTCTGATTCCTCATTGTGGAGATCCCCAAAGAGCCTGCTGCTTCCAGCCTTTCCAGAGCAGCCGTCCTGGTGGTTTGAGGTTTTGGCAGGGCATCTCTTTTTGGAGGACTTCAGTGTTTAATTGCACCATCTGCTTTGACTCTTGCCTAATGTTTGAAAGCTCTTGAAATACAAACAAGACCGAATCTGACATATTCTCTGGAGTAATCCATACAAATAAGTGCTGTGAGAACAAGTTTTAGGATCATCCCAACTTTTGCATTGCAAGTGCATTAAATATTGCATGCAGATGGACTGCTTTGGAGTATCAGCTTAATGGGTAGGGCAAATATTTTGAGGAGAGCCCTTGGGCATTCAGAGTGAGCTGCTTTGCTTGCTGTGCTGCGGAGGAGATGGAGCGAGTGCTGGTAGATCTGGCACGTCAGCGTGTGTTTGGTGTGAAACGTCAGGAAACGTCACGTGGCAGAAGTTTCTGTGAAGTTCTTAAAAAGGAAATCCCAGACACCATTGACTGAGCAACAGAAATGCTTAGTTAAGAAATCTGGAATGTTTTGTGCTTATTTTGACTTGTAAAAATCTTAGTGTGTAGTTCGTGTGAAATATAGGACAGAATAATTCTGAAGTGGAAACTTTGGGGGGGGGGGAAGATTTTTTTTTAGAAATTAATTTCCAGTTAATCTCAAGGAAATGAGCAAGCAAAGCATTCTATGAGGAAAAACTCCATTCTGATATAACAGCTTTTCTAGTGGAGAGACCTGCAGCTGGGGGACTCTTGAGGGGTGGGTTTGTGAGATTTGCTCCTAGACAGAGGGACATGTGGAAGGAGAAACTTTCACTGGTACATGACAACTGAACTGACATAAATTACAAATTACAACCTTAAATTTCATGTCATGAAATCCAGAGAATCCTCTGTACATCTTGGAGATTTGAGGTAGCTTTATGTGTGGATCCAGTGGACTAGGAGGCGGCAAAGACCAGCGGCCAACCAAATGAAACGGGTCTGATGATTTTTGCCACTGCTGCTCAATACCACCACATCAAAATCCCTTTGGGCGCTTGGCTACGTACTTTGGATCACGTCCTTGCGTGGGAGGGCTGCTTGTTTCCAGAGCCCCTGTCAGCGGGTTCTGGTATTAGAGGCAATGTCTGTTTTGCCTGGCACCAGCCAGGCCTGTCTGGTAATTTGGAGGAGAATTAGCTGGCAGTGCTGAGCAATAGCTATTAAACTGGGCACCTGTGGATCCTGCCCGGTGCGCCTGTGTGCTACAAGCCCGCACAGGTTTCCACAGCGCCTGAAAACAGCAGTCAATGTTGGTGTCACTCCTTGGGCTTGGACAACATAATTATCTTTAAACCCACCCTCCCACCTCAGTGCAATTTGCTGCCAGTGTTGCATTAGCGAGATGGGGAAAAAATAGTGGCAATACTTGTGGTGTGAGGATAGTAATAGAGATGTTTGTGTGGCAGCTGTGACCGGGGTAATTTTTGGTGTTAGGTGGCTGTAAGTGGGATTTAAGCAAAGATGCCCAAACAAATAGCTATGAGTTGGATGGTCTATTAGATCCCTTGAAACACTTGGTTCAGGAAGTCTTTTACCCGGTTTACCATCCATTGGCAGTGCTGGATGTGGGATAACAGGTATGGACTCAGACAAGACACGCCGACAAGGAATGGGCCAGACTTCAAGTATAGCACAGGGCAGGCTTCTAAAGCTTATATGTCAGCTCAGAACGTCCTTGTCACTTGGGGCTTGGATTTCACCGTGTTCAGTGTCCACTGCAAAGGATATGTTTAGCACTACACTCTGAGCCTGGTGATGCAGCCAGTTTTTCACGTATGTGTCCAATGAGCTAGAAAAAGAGGACCCCGGAGCAGTGCTCTTTAGATTTTTATTTTTGGTTGGCTGGTTTCAGTGCTCGATGCTTTTGCCGTGGCTTGCAAGCAGTATTTTCATCTAAGGAACTGGAGAAGTCTGTTCATGTTTGGCCCCAGCCCAGTGTGCCTGGGCTACCAAGGTCTCTGTGGTCCCAGCACGGGCACTGGGGAGAGGGTAGGTAGATCCTGGGAGAAGGGACACAGCGATGGCAGAGGCAGGTGGGTGATGTCCGTATGGATGTGGGGGAGTGATCTGGCAGCAGAAGGGCATTTCCTATTCCAGTCAAGACTGACAAATGTGATCTCCCTACCTATTCTAGGCACAGAGGTCCCTCTGCCAGCTCCAGTAGCACATGCAGCTTTGAGAGCCATGATTACATATACTGCACCCTTATAGAGCATGAACTTTCCCAAGGCTGTGCAGATAGGGCCGAAGTTTGTCAGTGAAGGACAGACAAGGAAAACAGAAGGTCCAGGGCCAGCTGGTTTCTGTGTTTGTGTGAAGTTGCTTTATTTGCCCTGGCTCCCACCCGGCTGCTGGGCTGTTCTCCCTCACACTCTTTTCCATGGTTTTATTTTTGTCCATGTGATTATTTATTGGCTTATTTTTCTAAAGAGAAAGGAGCTCAAATGGAGTTAGATGGAAAGGTGAAGAGCTCCTTCCGTACTAGAGCTCATCAGGAATTAATTTGTGACGTCCTCTCCTTGGTGCCGTCCAGCCTTCATTAAAGCCTTTGCCCAGCTCCTCCTTGCAGCCAAAGCGTGTAGCAGGATAATTTGCATCTCCCTGTAGATCACACTGCGCTCTGCCTCTGGGTTTGCTTGGGCTCATTTAGGAAATGTTTGTGTTGCTGCTGCACGGAAGGGACTCTTTGTGCTGTTTCTTTTTGTACCGAAACTGAGTAGCAAGAGTACCTGCTGTCAACAGGGTACGGAGCAGCAAACCAGCTGAGGAGGCAGGGAGTCCCTGCTGCAATTTGAATAGAAATAGAAGTGGAGCTGGAAGGAGAAGGGACTGTGCTTGTGGCCCTAAAAATAGGATGTGAAGTTAGCACTTGAGTGTGTCTCATGAAGAAATGGATGTATGTTTTTTCTGGAGCTGGGTGTGCAGCTGACCTTATTCTTAAATGGGCTGTGTGCATGTGTGTGCACAAATTCCCATGTATGTGCATGCCACCCTCGCAGGCTAGATCTTCCTTTTGCATGTGATGCAGCATTGCAATTGCCAAAGGGGCCGAAGCTGCAAAGTTGGCTTTTCTGTTCTTGATCAGACCACAGACAAGCTGAAGTTCCAGCAAAATAGCTGACTGCCTGACCTGGGGAAATGCATCGTGCTGCCTGCCACATGCCCTGCTCTGGGGAAGCAGCAGGGTTGAGGCACACTGACATGTGATTTAATTTCATTTGCGGTAAGGAAGGTGGGAGTCTGATCAGCTCTCTCGAGATGGGAAAGATCAGCCAATCATGATAAATGTTTCTAGGAATTTAGGTCTTGGGTGTCTCTTGAATGGATAATGCACTGGTGGTGTGGGTAATTACCTGCTAAAATTATACTGCAGTAAAATTTGTTCTAGTTTTCCTAACTATAGGAAGCACTTAATATATAGGCGTATTCTGTACCAAATGCTAGAATACCCCCTTGTATAGGGAGGGATTGGGAGGATATATGACTGACTTAATACGTTGCAGGAAACTCACATTTGCATGTGCAGCATGCTGAGATCTTAACCCTTGCAGCTCTGCTCTAGGAGAGCACAGGCAACCTCACTTGAGCATGCATGTAGTTCTGCACTATTAGACATGGCATTATTCTCACTTACACGTACATAATTATATGTAGCAACTTTTAAATAGTTGAAGGCAATGTAATGACTGTAATTAGGCTGCCATATATTACAAAAAAGGAGAAAAAATATCCCCCAAACACAGAAAGCAATGAACTGGGGCTTTATTATTATTGTGAGAACTAAGTTTTTAAAAAAACTGAGCCTTTACTACATCAGTACTACATGTACTGATAAATCAATGGCCCGGGACTGGCTGTTTGCTTGTGCTCCATGTGGGCACAGATGCCACCCTATGTTATCTGCAGTGCAAGTGTGCAGGGTGTCCAAGTGGAGCCACCTTGTCCCAGCTTTGCAGTCCCTGTGCAGCCTCCATTGGGAGCAGGATGCAAAGCTTCCTCACTGTGGCGTGATGCTCAGGTAACTGTGTTCAAGGGAGCTGTGCCAGTCAGCTTCTCCCCTTGAGCTCAAGCCTTCCTGCCAGGCAGCATCAGTCTTTAGGCTGGAAAAAAATGAGGGGAAGGAAAAAAAATAAGAGAGTTAAATGGTACACCGAGTGGCACAGAAGCTTGCAAAGTGAGGAAAACCAAAGTGAGCACAAGTGGACTTCTCTGTCCCTTTGACGTCCTGCAGGGCTGCACGCCGATGCTTGGCCGAGCATGGTGCCAGTGCAGGCGTTGGCAGATGCACACTGTGCTTATTTGTCGATCCCCACTCTGCTGTACTGGCTCTGTGGGCAGCCTCATGCTCTGTGCTCATGGCACTTGTCCTTCCTAAATGACTTGCTGCCTGTGAGAGGCTCGTGGGCATTTTCAAACAGATTAATTCTAATTCCAGTGGCCTCATGTTGTAATGGAATCAGGGTCATTAGTGAATCCTTAAGTAAACAGTCAGGAACTAGAGAAAAGAAGGCTACCAAGAAAAGCAAACAAACAAAACCCCCAAAACATACAAAAAATCCTGAGGTATAGTGGCCAAGTATCAGACAAAACACTTGCTTTTACAAGGTTTACCCCAAGAAAACCTTGAGGTGGACAGCTGAGACCAGAGCGGCATTTTTTTGCCCCCCGCCTCAAAACAAAAACAAAACCCAAACTCTAAGCAGAGATATGTGATTAAGTATGCCATTTATTCCTTTTGGCTTAGCTTTTAAATTCTTAAGCAGGAAGTGGGAGTTTATAAAATATATATGGATATTGGAAATGGAGGCTTCTCACCGTGGCTGATGACTTTGCAGATCTGCAAAGAGGCAGAGATAACAACTGAGGAGCAGCAGGGCAAATGAATTCTGGCATTGTCTTTGCAGTGATATTGTCAGTCTTGGAAGTCAAAATGTGTGGTGTTAAAGCTAGAAAAGCAGGAAGTTGCCAGGACTGTGTGTGAGGCTTTCAGGAGCTCTTAAGATTTCTAGATGAAGAAAATGTTAAAGGAGCGAGACTGTTGTTTGACAGACTGTGCTGCGAGCTATTAAGGTGAAATGACTGGTGTTGTGTTGTGCGTCGACGAAGTAGAAATGCCAAAGAACTGTTACAAATAATGCACGATCTTCTCGGGTCAAAGTCTCCTCTGAGGAGGATGGTAGAAAAAGCTAAACTGAGTTTGACCAAAGAAACAACAATGGATAATAATCACCTTTGGGTTAGGATAGAATAGGGGACAGCAACAGAAATAGAGGAAAAAGAATGACCTAGCAGGAAAGACTGAAAGAAATTGTTTCTCAAAGAGTGAGGGAAAACAGGAGAAGAATGAAGCTCTTCAAATGTGTGAAGGCTACTGAAAGGAGAAAGAAAATGCTTTTTTTCCCCACCCTCTCTCTCTCGTGGCTAGGGCAAGATGTCATGAGCTTAAATCAAACCAGAAGGACATAGACAGCGGGAAATGGTTTCTTGAAGAAGTTGCCGAAATTCTGTTAATGGAGGTCTTTGAAAAGGCGCTGGAAAAACACTGGATACAGCCAATCATGATATGACCTCCTTGGGCTCCTTCAAGCCTTATTTTCTATAAGTGCATTAATTTATGGCTATTAACATAATATTAAAGTGATTAATGGCACAGCTGTTCACAGCATTTTGGAAGGATTCAGCTACAGTGCAGGGTACTGCTAAAACCAGCTCCAAGGGCAAAATCTAGAGCTAAAACCACAGACTTGTGCCTGAGTGTTGACTAGAAAAATGAGGCTGTGAACAGAGAAAATATGTCTCTTGCTGTTTAATTATGCTCTTTGTAAATAAGCAGGAGCACAGCGGAAACTGCTCCACTTTCCTCCTGTGTAAGAATAACACAGGCGGCCCCAGGATGCTGCTGACTCCTCAGTTCAGGAGGTGTCTTGGAGCATTGATTTAGGCCTCCAGTTTGGCTGAAATGATCTAAATGTATGGATCCAAATGTATTTCTGTGGACAGCTGAGCACTTCCCCATGGTGCTGTGCAGATGGGGAACTAATCTCTGGACTGTGGCTCTGTGTCCAACGTGACCTGGTTTTACTGACAGGGCTGTGGTTCTCCCCTAACGTGGCTGGCTTATGTGAGGATGCTGGCCAAGACCTTCCATTTGAGTTGTTTGAGCAGTTCTGCTAGTGGATGGCAGCCCCTCATGTGGTACCTCACATTTCTTTTCATCTCATTTTTGTACTTCCCCCAGGGAATTTGGAAGGAGGAAAAAAAAAAGGCACAACTGATGAAGGACCTATTGTGCTGCAGGCACAGACCTGGACTAGATGGACCTTTTGGGCCTAGAAGAGCATTCATGTGTCCTTTTAAAAACTGTATTGATTTTCTAAAGAATTATGTCTCCCTTGACAGCCTAGAAATAAAAGCTCTTGTCCCGGCCTGGCTCATGAGCCTTATGATTCCCGCATATCGACAAGGCAGATATCACACTGTCTAGGCTCAGGAAAGATGCTCCTCAACATGCTCCATCAGAGAAAGAGAAAATTACATTTCTGCACCTCCTGCTGCTTCCTGCTGCAGATCCCCCCTGGCTTTAGAGGCAGGTATTCGTGTGCAGGCTGATCTGTGGCGAAAAGCTCAGAGGGGTCTGGTCAGTGCTTTTGCCGCCTCCTGATGCAGGCAATGCCCAATTAGGCTGACTGCCAGAGTACAAGTTTGCAGTGATATTTTTAGTCATTAATGTTTCTGTTTTGTCCCCAGATTTATCTTTGTGGACAGAAAATAGCGTGCAGAGCTACCCTTTGCACCCTAGTCCAGTTGCCAGCTCATATCATGGGGTTCATCCGAACGTATCAAGAGCAAGCGAGGGTGCGGTGTCACCCTGAGTCTTTTGCATGGAGCACCTGCAAGCCAGGCTGGTGACCTGGAGTCGTGAGGGTTGCTGCACATGTAGAAAGGTTCCTCAGATTTGATATTTTTTAATACCAGCATCAAAGAGGGGGTGTGGAAGCTGTTAGCCCAGTGACTCCACCACAGCTGTATTGACTCAGACTAAGTTATAGTGTCCAGTATACACAAATGAGGCTATTTTCTTCCTTTCCTTTTGGTCAGGACCTTGCATTATGCTACATTATGCATATTTTATGTGCTGTTATACTTATGGGTTGGGATTTTTGTATTGAGAAGCTTTCCTAGACTCCAGGATGGCAGCTGCCCTGTTTTCAACACTCGTGGTTTCCAGCTGTGATCTCTGAAGAACAGGTCCTGGAACTCTTTTCTGCTAATACCTGTTCCCCTTTTTATTGCAGTAGGTCACCTGGGCAGGGTTTTCCAGAGATTTAAGAATCACAGATTAGGGTAGCCTCAAGAAGCTCTACATACCATCCACCGTCCACATTAATGGGAACTTGTTTGCATGGGAAACTGCTGTCAGGACTGGTTACTAAGGGAGACCTTGCTCTCATAAACTCACTTCTGAGACTGCCTGTTCAACTATGCGACTCTAAATATATATTTCCTGGACCAAATATCCTATTTAGGTAAGGCCTGTACTTTGCACATAAGAGCAGGAGAAGCATGGATTTGCTGTTGCAATAAAACAGTTGCCTCAGAGGGAGGAACTGTCTTTAAAGGCAGTTGGATCGTAGAAGGGGAAATGTCCTCTGTCTCCAGCTCTAACACAATTGTGAGCTTTGATTATAAAGGTGAATAGCGCTTTCCTTAATTGCTTCTTGGGAAGTTACTTTGTAACCAGACGGCTGTTTTTCTTGACCAAGAGTTTGGAAATATTCATTGCACCGAAGTAAAAAGGAATAGCAGAAACAATGGAGTCTGCATATCCAGTGACCCTGTTTATCTTTAAGGTTCAATCGCGTTTTCCAGAGAAAGACCTTGGCCTTGAACTCTTGCTTTGTTTCTGTGTCACCATCACCCTTGCTCTACAGAGGGAGCAGAAATGTGAGGGTCTGTCCAAGGCTGGCTTTACATGGCTTGCTGTAAGAAGGTCTTTAGCTGGACTTTCACTGCAGCTTTCTAGGCACTCTGGACACCTGCACTGTCCTGTAAAGCATCCAGTCTAGACTAGGAGGATCCTACTTATGCGTCCTCCCTGCCCTTCATCTGCTAGGTCCCTCCAGACATTCAGAGGAGAGGAAGTAAGCCCTGAAGCAGCTGCTTTGCTTCACTGATGCATTGACCCTCCCCACAGCATCCTGAATCAGCCAGAAAGGAGACAGGGAAAGTCATTGTTCGAGGCAACTTCTTGTTACTAGTTAACAAATTCCTGTGTGTTTGAGTGGGGTGAGGAAAGAGGAAGAACTAGCCTATGTAACTGGGCAGCTAGGAAAGCTTTCAGCCCAATGGTGGTAACTGCCAGCAAGGCATTTAGTGTCTTGCTGGAGTTGGAGTCGAAGCCCCCCAGGGCCTGCTGGTTTTGACATGCTTTGGATCAGATGTTTTGGCCATCTCTGTCTTGTGCATCGGCTCATCCTTAGCATGTGCGAGAGCTCCTGAGTGCCTCTCTGCCCCATTCCTGCCTGAGCTGCTGCTCCAGTCCTGCGCCAGCTCCTGGACTCCTCCCCACCCTGTCTCAACCTCTGATGGGCCCAGTTCAAGGTCTCATCTCCCTATAGCTTGTAGACCTTTGCTTTTCACTCTACACTTAAAACCCATCTATGCCTGCAGGAGCTTGGAGGGGCTGGATGCCCTGGAGTGACCCTTTGCGAGCATCTGCCGTCCCCAGGGAAGGCTGCATCCCTTCCCCGTGCCAATGCTGATGTCAGGAAGGAGGGCTGGTAGGAGCTCTATGATTAATGCATCACATTTGTTCCCCTGAGAGCCATGTTTACCACCTACGAGCAGGAGGTCGGCCTTGACCTTGCGCCTTTGTGGCTTGGAGCTGCATTAGCGCTGCCTGCCCGCCAAGGCGAGCTTTGGGGCTCGCAGCAATGCAGGCTCTGGGTTGGCATCCTCCACTGCGCTGGGGAGCGAGGGAGAGGACCTGACTCTTTCTGAGGCCAGCAGCCCCTCTGGGGGATTTTTTATTGCACATGTGGTTTTCTATTTGCGGTATTCCTTCACTGTTAGTAATGAGCTTATGGTTTTAGAGAGCCCACAGTCCAGACCTGCTGAGCGGTGGTCCGACAACAGGGTATTGTTCAGGCCAAGGAAGGAAACGCTCCCGCCTGGGAGCTTTCCAAGGGTGGCTGTGCTTAGCTGGGGAGCAGCAGAGCTTCTCAGTGTCCCTTGTCTGCAGCACTCACGCTGACTGCAGCAGTGCCACAGCCCTGCCAGCTCGCACAGCTAGAGGAATCCAGCTTCCCATCAGGAACGGTGCAGAGCTGGCACATCCAGCCCTTCTGTCCTAGGCTATAAGTGGAGTGTGTCTGATATAGGACAGGAGCCAGAAAACTCACATAGAAACCTTGGCAGGTCTGCCTTCTTGCTACCCTGGCTTCAGAGGGATGCTTTACTTGGGATGCTCCAGAGTCCTGGAAGATTACCAGCTTTTCATGGGAAACAAGCTGTTGCTCTCACTTGACCTGTCTGTAACAGCTCAGGGACATTTTAAGGCATAAAATAAGATGTTGCTTCAAATTCACAACCCCCATTCTCAACAGTTGCTTTGAGTCTGAGGGAGTAATAGGTTTGTTAGTGAGATGTGTCCACCAGCACTAACCAGTGACTGTCCTGCTGTTGCCTGCTGAGTTGCATGGACAGCCTGGCTGCAGGTGCATTGGTTCACAGCCACTCATATGACTACAGCTCTTTCCCATGCGTTTGCCAAGGACAGCTCTTCTCCCAGAGAGCTGTGGCTTAGATGACAGGGAATTTGCACCCTTCCACTTCAGCGAGGCTCTTGCTTTGCAGAGAATTCACACTGCAGGTGGGACCATGCGATTCTTGCCTGACCTCAAGCTCGTCTGTGCAGCCCTCCATGACACTGGTGTGCCTGTGGTTTTCTAGGTAGCTGATGAAAAATTTGTTTGTATTTCCTACCTATACTGGTACAGCTGCTGTCTCTTGTGGAGGTTGTCACAGCAGCAGTTATGGGGAGAGGAAAAAAAAAGTGTAGATCTAACCCCAGAGGAAAAACCTCCATGTGCCTGTTCTGAGGGATGCTGCCTCTGTGCCCTTTGCTAAAACAAATGTGCTTCGTTTGGGTTCATGTCCCATGACCAGGCAGCCGTGTCCCAGCAGCGGGGCCTGGCAGCAGCCACAGGTCTAAAGAAGGCTCTGCTTATTTTCAGGCGAAGAAAAACAGACTTGGTGGTGGAAATGTGGTTAAAATAGAAGCCTTCTTAGTGGAGGGAGCCTGGGGAAAGCTGCAGTGGGATAAGAGGATGCCAAGGCTGCTGCTTCCAGACGGTGGAACCATGTGAAGCTTCCAAGAAAACAAAGCTTCTGCTCAACTGAGGCTTTGTGTTTCACTAAAATACCTCAGTCCGTCTAGAATCCTGACTTTGCAATTTATTATCATGACATTATAAAGTAAAATGCCATCAGCGATGAAAATAAATGTTCCCTCCCAGGAAGGGGCCTTAGTAAAATGTTCCGGGACATTGAGTGGGGATGGTTCCCCCTGATTGAATTTTGCCAGTTATTTTGCAGGCAGGAAAAAATCAGTCTTAAAGAAACAAGGTCTTGTGATTGGCAATCCCTCCCCTGTGACATGCCTGAGTCTTGGTAGCAGCCAGGGCTGCTTTGGGGGCACCAAGCAGAGTGTGGCTTTGCAGGAGGAGGATGGTGAGGGAGAGGAGGATGCTGCAGAGGAGGATGAGCAGTGTGGTGGGCTGGGTGCTGCATCACTCTGTGCCTGTCTATGCCTGGCAGAGGTTGCAATGGGACCGGGGGAGGATGTTGAGCCCTTTGGCTCACGCTCTCTTCATGTGCAGGGCAGCTGCAGACCCCTTGACATTCCCCGTCCACCAGGCTGAGCTGCCAGAAGGGAAGGAGGAGGCAGGTTGAGGGCTGAGCCCTTCGTGTGTCTTGATGAGTCCTGCTTGTCTGCATCACTGAAAATGCATTTGGAGCTCACATGAACACTCCCTGCCATTGCAATGTAGCATGAGAGGCTACAGTGATTTAGGAAAGCAAAGGGAAAAAAGAGTTGAGGATAGGAAAGTGGTTTTGGCGATGTTTCCAAAAAAAATGGCTTTTTTAATCCCAGACTGAAATAGGGACAGGAGTAGTTCCTGCCTGGAAACTTGCCATCAGTTTGGCCTGTTGTGTCCCTGCTGTATGGAGCCCAGACTGTGACCCCTGGTGCTCTGCTTCCCATAATCACCAGCCTGATAGGGATCTCGCTGCAGGACGGATGTGGCTGACATTTAGCAGGAATCCTAGTTCTCATCAGAATAATGCCTAGGGAGACGCAGCCGGCACTCAGCCGTCCATCTAGTGTGACCTGCTGCTTTGCAAGCTTGGTGCAGTTCATTGAAAAATGCTTTTGGCTAATTCTGTGTGATGCTTCCCAGAAATGGCAGGGACAGGAGAAAGATTTTCCTTGGCACAAGCTGGCCTCGGCGTAACGCCTCCGGCACTGCTTAGTGGAAGGAACCAAGCTGTGCTTTGCTGTGCCCCGGTGCCCGAACAGCGAGTGAGATGCACGAGGTGCTCCAGCTTCTCCCTGCCACCCCTGTGCAGGGCCCTCCTGTCAGACAACACACTCTGTTCCTTGTGCTGCAGTAAAATGGGGAATATCCGAGTTATGGGAAGCAGAGATCCCTTACCCTTGCTGCTCAAGGATATCGGAGCAAGCTGCATTCACAGGCCCGTTGAGAATATAATCTTTATCACATTCATTTTAGATATGTGCAAAGCGAGATGTTTTGCATCTCTCCCCTGACAACAGACTTGGTAGATCTGGGAAGAGCAGCCAGCGCTGCCCCTTCTTCCCAGCTGCACGGGGCTGCATTTGACTTTTCAGATGAGCACTACAGCTTTTTCTCAGCTTGATCATGCATTGTTTTTGTTTCTAACAGCTGCTTCCAGGAATACAGAACGAGAGAATCACACATGCTTCTAAGCAAAGCGAGGTTCATGCTGTACTAAGAATGAAGCTTTTGGTTTTCCCAAAAGCTTTATATTATATATTTATATAATATGTATATAAATTATATATTTATAAAATATGTATATAAATATATTGTTATATATAGAATATATATTATATATCTATATTGTATATTTATTTATATTAGCCCTTACTCAAGGGCTATAACAAAAACTGAGGGAGGAGACCAGAATACTGTTTTTGATGAAGTGAGATACAGTTCAAAACTCTTCTCCTGTTCAACATCTGCCTCAAAATTTTGGGGCAGCTCCTGTTGCAGGGATGAACAGCTCCCTGTCTGCCAGCTGCATCCCATCGCCTGCTGCATCCCTTCCTGCAGGAACTACTCGGATCTGTCCTCCGAGGCTTGTCGGAATATTATTACTCTTAGTGGAGATAGGGGCACTTGAGAGCAGTTTCCATTGCCAGCCGTGTTCTTTGCCTGCAGGACTTGCCGGTGATGCCTTGCTGCAGCGTGTGGCCACCTGGCAGTTTTTGAGGCTGGAGGTTTTGGGGCTGCGGGTGGCTCTGGGTGCAGGTTGGAGCTCCGGGCTCTGCTCCGGCCAGGGCTACCTGCTGCCCGAGCCCAGCTGCAGGCTCCCATACCGGCTGCAGGCTCCAACGGAGCAACAGCGGCCTCCAGTGCCTGAACCTCCTCCCTCTCTCCATCCAGGGAGCCCGCACCCTTGTCCTCTGCTGCGCTGGCCGCTGGACCTCACCCCGAGCAAGCTGGACCTGCATCACGGTGCTGGTCGTGTCCCTGAGGCCAAGAGACAAGGCTGAGGTCCCTCAGCTCAAGCAGCCAGGCTGGACTCTTCCTCCTGGCACAAGCCTTGGAGCACTGGCTTGAATGCCCAGTACATTAAAAGTCTCCTTCCATGCACCCCTCTCCTGCTACACTTGTCTCCTTCTTTTTAGGAAGGAATCTTAGGAAAAGAAAACAGAATTGTCTGCACAAAACAGTCTGCTTGTTATGTCAGAGCCTGGCACTCTCCTTGGGAATGTCCCAGCCTTTCTCTCTTGGGTTCTGTCAATTTGCTCTCAGCTCTTTATGAATGTTAGCAAAACAGACCATATTTTACTGGAAGATATTCTAAATGTCAGGGAAAGTGGTGGGGGGAATGTGGTTTGCAAGAAATCCCAGTGCAAGGCATTGAAGTGCTTCCATTTTATTAGAGGTTTATATAAGCAAAAGACATCTTGTGCTGTCTTCTCCGGTGCTGCTTTTTAGTTTTCAGTGAAGCCGGAGCGTGGGGAAGGCTCCTGGCACATTCCCCTCTTCTTTATGCGCACGTTAGTGTTCCTTTGTCTAAAAAAGAGGTTAGATTTGCTAGAGAACGCCTTAAAGTCCCTGACACAGAGCAGAGTTTGAATTGAGGGGTAAAGAAACATGTTTCATAAGGAATGGGCTTCATAAGGAAGCCCGAGCATTTATGACAAGCAGTTCAGGGTTGCCTTGGACATGGGCTAATTAATTGTGCTAAGCCCTAGAGCTAGCACTTACTGACACCTTCCAGCAGAATAATTCACCTTTTTGCTGTATGGCAGTTGAAGGACACCTCTAATGCTTGTCTGGCTGCAGTTGATGAATGTTATGACTTTGTTTGCATGGGCTTTCTGTGGATAAATGCCATCACTGTGTCTCACTTAGTCTTGTGACCTGCTTTCCTTCCTTAATGAATCCGTGGTTCTTTTTAGTAGCCCCAGAGCTTCTCTCCTACCACTGCTGAGGTCTCCCTTCCCCTTTGGAGATGTGCTCCCCTTTTTGGGGGACTCTATTTCTTTACTCCAAGACCCAATACCACCTTACCCGCTGCATACCTATCCAAACCCTTCCTTGCTCTGATTAAGCAGCTTTGGGGGCCTGGCCAAGGCTGCCAGAGCTCTACTGTAGCATTCAGGCAGCAACTGGTGCAGGACAGCAAGCTTCTTGCATGGTCATTCCCTCTGGCCAGCACCTTGATGGGTCACTGGCTGTACTGCCTTCACTTGGGACATCCCTCTGACATCTGGCTCCTGAACAGCCTCCCCTTTGGCCTTAAAATATTAACTCATCCTTTGGGAAGGCCAGGAGCAGAGTATTGGGCAAAGGCTTTTTCTAGAGGAACAGGAAAGCTGGAATTTGGTCTCCAGTTTGAGATGTCTCTGCTGACAACAGATAGGCATTCACGCCTATGACAGCTGGATCACTAGAAAGCTCTGTCTTTGCCAGGCTGAGTCAATGTTAAAACTCCTTTAGCCCCCATAGGCCATGGCATCTGGTTACAGATTAGATTCAGCCGTTACAACAGGGATTTTTGAACCAATTAATAGCACTGAGTTGGAAGGAATTCCTTCTCTTGCCCGAGACAGAGTGCTTACATTGTGTAAAGATGCTCAGAATCACCTAGGACTCAAGCCAGAGGAAATGAATCGAGACTTGCCAGATATTTTGTTAGCATTTGGACCTGGCCTTCTGCTAAGACGGTGGAATCTGGCATCAGCACAGATTGAACAAAAGATCCATTCTTAAAAATATCCTGAGAAAACAATAACCTTGCATAAGCAGAGAAGATTAAAAGTAAGCTCAGTTTTGAATTCCCAGCATGAAGAAACACAGCTTTTTCTCACCTACTGCACATCTGAGGTCACCTGGATTTTTTTTTTTTTCTGCCTGGCTGTGTGAGATTTGGGCAGATTTTGAGGATATTGACACTTGTCCAAGTTCCTGGACACCCTCTAGTGTAGCCTGAGCACTGCATGAGTGCAAGTGCTTGGAAATGTGAGCATGCGCTCCCTGATGATGGATCTATGCTGCATCCCGTGTGCCACCAGCTGGACACAGCAGGCCTGTTTTGCAGTGGGTGCTGTGTGGTCAGAGCAGCAGGGGCAGCGGCTGCAGGAAGGAGAGATTCACACCCTCCACCCGGAGCAGTGAACACCTTTCTAAGGAAACCCAGACATATGTGGTAGCCCCAGCCTGTGTTATAGTTACCCTTGTACAGAATCCAGCTACTCACAGGTTTTGAACACACAACAGGCACTCATTGTTGTATAAGACGTTGTCTGTGCCACAGACAGGGTCAAAGATCCTAACGCAGCCTTTCTTCAGATTATAATTGCCACAAGCTGCCTGGAGAAAGAAAAGGGGAACGATAACACTAGATGTTAAACACCCCTTCAATTTACCAAAGGAACTTTTCCCTACAGAGAGACACTTTGTATATCTGGGTAAAACAGCTTCCTTGAAGCTCTGCTATGAGCTCTAGGAAACATGGAGATACCCTTCACCATGCTGTCCACTGACTAGCTGAAATACACCTAGCCCTCCTGTGAGCCCTTAGGGGAGACAGTATTTAATAGGTAATGCTCCATGGGCAGCATCTGTTCATGTTCTTCCCAGCTTTTATTTTCCGTGGCCACAGGTGTCCCTGGGGAGCAAGCTGCCCTCACATTTGCCTGCCGCAGAGTAATTGGAGCTCAGCGGATTGCCTTTAACTTGGCATGCAGCAGCAGCGTTCAGTTCATGCCTATCAGTCTGTCTACACTGAACGTGGCATAATACAAAAGGAAATCGGTACCATCTGGGATAATACAAAAGGAAATCAGTACCATCTCTTGGATTTGACTGTGGCACAGCAGGTGGAAAGACATTCCCAGGCGCCCTGGCCTTTGGAGAGCCAACCCAGTGGCTCACGGTCCTTGAGCAGCACTGACTTGCTAGCGTACCAATCAGTGCTGTCCCACCAAAGCTGGGTGCACCCTTGCACTACTCTGAAACAGGAGCCTTTACCTCGGTTCCTGTGCCATCAGCACTGTCCGGATCAGCATGTCCTAGAGTGGAGAGAAAGAAGACTTCTTTCAGAGACCTTCACTCATGCTGCCTTCAAGGTGGACTCCACTAAAGATGCTTTAGGCTGAGGATCTTGGCTCACACAGCCTGGTCCTTTCAGGGCCCCAGCGAATAACAATATCTCATCCTTCTCTTGCACCTCTCCTGTGTTGCATGGCGCTGCAGGACCAGCCCTGCTGCATCTGAGTGTTCCTCTGCACCCAGTGGAAGCTTCTGCCAGTGCCAGGTGCACCCTAGTGACTTGCCCTGCCGTTCACTCTCACTGCCAAGGAGCAAAGGTAGCTTTCCTTATCCCTTATCAGTGGTTCATGGTAACTGAAGAACTCCTGCTGGTGCTAGGTTGATGCTTGTATCAACCCAAAGTGGTTCCTCTGGTCTCTCTGCTTTATATCAGAGCGAAGTAGAGCAAAAGACAATTTGCTGAGGCAGAAATGGGGTATCTTTTTTGCAGACTGTGGAGTCTCCAAAGCCAGTGAGCATAAGCCTGGCTTTCTTGTCCATGAGCTGGCAGCTGGGATCAGCATGGACTGAACATGTGGCAGTGTATTTTGAAAAAACAACCTGAATTTTCTCAGCCAGTAGCAGTACTGGGGAGAAGCCCTTAGGTTCCCCGTAGTTCTAAGCATGATCTACAGAGAAGATTTAGGCTACATCTACATTACCAAGCAGAGTGATCCCAAGAGGAGTGGGTCTGCAGGGTGAAGCAATTTGGTGCTAAGGACCTGCTTACTCCATCTAAAAAGAATCCAAATTTTCCCTCAGAGTGTCTGCAGTGTCAGCTGCAGCACGGTAAATAGGTTGACAGGGGACTTGTTTCAAAAGCCATCCGGTCCTGAACAAATCCACTAATGCAGACACTCCCAGGGATTGGGACGTAAGACAGCATTAGCTCATGGTCTTATCCTTATGCATTGTGTGAGATCTTTCTTGATAACACAATTAGTTTAAATGTGATGCTGGTAACAAGCGCTTCATTTCCCTCCCTGTCGATACGTTTTGTATTTTTTTTTTCTTTTTAAATACAATATGGCATTGATCGAAACAAATTGCACTGTTTGAGAAACAACCAGCTCCCAGGCAGAATTCCACCCCTAAAGAAAGAGGGACAATCCGTCTCTGTTCATTTTGTAGGTACAAGGCACTCTTTAAAAGCCTTTGCTTTAGACCTCCTCACAGATGGCTGTTTGAATGCAGATTGGCTTTGCAGCCCTCTCCAGGGAACACTCCATTACTCTGCCCATGTCCCAGCATCCAGGTGTCCTGTTCCCAGGCTCGCCTTCCTCTGTGGCATATCCGGGAGCTTTTGCAGAGAACTTCAAAGGAAAACGTGGCACTCACCTGGGTAGCTGCAGAAGGCCAGGCAGAGGAGAAGGACAACACAAGTTTCCTTCATGGTCAAGGTGATGGTTTGAGGACAGCAAGGAGGAGCCAAGACTCTTCTTTGGCTTTTGGAGAGCCTGTTTTGATAGCGCACATGGGGCTTTTATACCTCTCCCCATCGCTGGCACCACCCCCGTGGGCAGCTCCACCTCGCAATGTTATGATGACAACATTGTGAATACGGGAATAACTCAAGGTGGCAAATGGCTCATTTATCGTGGCACACAAGGATAAAAGTCTCTCTGAAGCCAATGGAGGGAACGGCTCTTATCGCTAGCAAAGGCTGGAGCTTTATCTCACAGGTGGGAGACAGCCTTGGGTCTGCCCTGCAAAGCTGGGAAAAAAGGGACTTTGTCCAAAAGCAAATTGAAGAAAACGACTGAATGGCAAAAAAAAAAAAAATACACGCCTGGCTGACCTCCCGTTTAGCACAAGTGGATATTTGAATAATTATCTGCCCCTCTGCCTCATTCACCTTTCCCAGCTTGATCAATGGAGCGGAGCTGGGGCGCTACCACCCTGGGGCTCCCCTTCCCACTCTGAACAGGGAGGCAAAGTCATCGGGACCTCAGGATCACTTCTGGCTGCTTGCTGTTATTTTGACAGGATTCTCCATGATGGGGAAAAGGCCATTAAAATGGGCTCACCGGGTCGGATGCTGCTTCCTTCCTTCTCCCTGCCTCCAGCTCGGAGCAAGCTCCGGGGATTGCCTGCATTTACTCCACACTGCCAGTGGTGCACTGTGGAGAGTGGATCTGTCCCTTGGGTATTACAAGGATTAATTAATGTTTCTAAAGCACTTTGATATCTCATCCATAAATCACTGGAGAAATGCAAAGCAAATTATTACTAATGGGGGCTTATGACTCAAAGACAGATTTTTAATTAGCTGAGCAGGAAGAAGTCAATGCCAAGAGCAATTCAAGGAGGTGTTTGCAAGACAGAAATCTTGGTTCAAACTGGTAACTGCTTCACTGTCTGCAGGAGACCACAGCCCATGCACAGCTCTGATGGGACACTGTCAGGGCAGAAGCAGCCCTCCTCTTCCTCCTCCTTGTGGGCTGGCTTCAATGGCAAGGGAGACTTCCCTGCGCCCTGGTCTCACCTCCCCTTGATTCTTTGCTCACTGCCCAAGCACGCCAGGCTATCCTGCATTTAAGGCTGGAAGAACTGCTTTTAGTGGTGTCCTTCATCTCAATATCTTGAGAACAAAGGAAGGTTTGTGCGCGACCACCTTGGAAGCTGTGCATACCTGGGCTAAGCCCTCTGACTTTTCTGGAAGTCAGGTTCATGTGCCATTATCACCCCCTGAGGGGTGAGAGAAGAAGACAGGATAATGTTTTATAGCTGAGCAAGGTTCACCTCAGTCCAGAACTCTTCCTACTGCTCTTCCAACGCAGCGGTCACAGTGTGAGTAAAGCATTGCAATGCACAAAGGTGCTTTGGTTTCACCTCTCTAAGTAGACAGGAGCCTTAGCAAGGACAGTTTATGGTTATAGACTCAAATATTTACAAAATCAGCCCAGTTTGGGAAAAGATTTTCCTCTTCAAGCTATAACACAAGTTAACGAGAGCAGAAGAGGCATTGCTGGAAAGAGTTTATCTGACTACACTTCTCTGGGATGTGCCCACTCCTGTTAAAACACACTTGCACATTTTCTAGTTGAGAGAACCTCACCAGGGCCAGGAAATGTGATGATTTTCACTGTCCGGAAGCCAAAACATCTTTACTCAGATTCCTTAGAAACATCTAGGCTTGTCTCCAAACTGGAGTTTGATGGGTAAATCCTCAGTGTTTACAAAGGTGGCTGTGTAGCTGGGAACCACGTTGGCCTTGGTTATGGTGCCTTCCTTCCATGTCCATAAGCCCCACCAGAGCTATGTGAGATTGTTTTAAGTGCTCTACTCCGGGTTGAAAAAACCTGTATAACAAAATGAACTTAATGAATTAACGAACTCACAGATTCAACAGCAATGTCATTTCTGCCAAAAGAAGACTCCAGCACAGCTAGTTAATACTGCTGGAGCTCAACAGCATCTGCAGGAGGATTTTAATGCAGTTTTTCTGCCAGTAATTCCTCCTCCTTCTCCTGCACCTTTTCTGACACCTATGTGGTCATGAGCCACCTTCCAAAGGAGGATTTCAAGGGCACCTATATCCTGATTGACGTCTACTCTTTATCCCTGAGCAAAATCGGACAGAAATGCTGGGGGCTTCTTCGAATGGGGAGGAATGAAAAAAGAGCTTTGAGCTGTTCCTGCGCTGGGTAGAAAGGAGCAGGGAGATTTCCTCAGCAATGTGGGCTTTCTTGGGATGTGTCACCTTGTCAGAGCAGCATGTTCCTCTGAACACATCAGCTGGAGGAGTAGAGAGAAATGAGTCAGGCGGGTCTGCCAGCAAAAAGCGAAGCAAAAGGGAAGAGAAAAGCTGCTCCCCATTTCTGTCAGTCCTCCTGGGGCAGCATCCTGCAAAGCCCCTGAGGCCTGAACAGGTTGAGCGGTTCCCATCGCTTTTAAATGGTAGCACTGATGGATGGACGAGACCGGGCAAGCCTGCATGGGGGCCAGGGGCAGGTTGCACTGTCACATCTTCCTCCAGGCAAGTTGGTGGGGAGAGGTGCTCCTCCTCCCGCAGGAGGAATGTTTGCATCGTCTTTGGGCTAAATCGGAGTGCTTTAGGGTTTGTCATATTTTCTGAGTAAAATATCTCAAGGAAAAGGAAACTTTGGGCAGCTAGCTGCCTCCCTGCTAAGGCCCAGCTAGTAGTCATGACAGGTAGAGGAGCACTTGTCCTCCCAAGGATGGGATTTGCTTTTTTCGATGGCTTAACCAATGGTGAAAAGCCACTAGTGCTCCAGGGAAACTGCAACAGAGTCACCAGCGAGAAGCACTCAGAGATCCCAAACCAGGCCCAGATGATGATGAATCACAGTTTTGAAAGTACAAGTCTTTAAGGAAAGGTCCTTAAGCCTTTTCAGAATAATGTCACCTACCTACAGACTCATTTGGGATGGTTCCTGGGCTGCTAAGGAAGTCCAAAGACACACTTTCCAGCCTCCTTGTGAATGCAGAGAGAGAAAGGGCTAAAGCCAAAGCAGAATGTCCCTCATGGACCCTGCTGTGGTAAAGGGAATGGGACAATAAAAGGGAAACGTTGGGACCTTTGGCACTAGCTCATGTGAACCAGTGATGCCAGGGCTGTGGGAAGGGCCATATGGGAGCCAGTGTCCTGGGGAGGACCAGGAGATGCCGTAGCTGGAGACAGGCTGAAGAAATGCAAGCAGGGAGCACAAGGATGTTACAGGAGACACTTCCCATACTTGACCAAAATCCCCTTGAGTCTAAGAGCTGCTTGCATTGGATTTAAATGTTAAAAATCCCTAGTACCCTGTTACCAGGTGAGATGTCCAGCCAGCCTTGGCTGTAGTGAGCAGGATGTGTCTGAAAGAAATCAGGCTTGTTCCCCTTTCAGTGCAGTCCGTGCAAACCCAGTGGAGAGGCATGACCGAGTGGGAAGCAGACCATCTGCGCATGCTGGGCTGCAGGGCTGCTGATTCTGCCTAGGATGATTTCCCATTAACACTGGGAAAAACATTTTTGCTTTGGATGCATGGAAGATGCTGAACATTCGGGTAATATAGGAAAAAAAGACCCTGTGATGACAGCCAGTGTGAAAACATCACGTATTTATTTCCATCAGTAAGAGACGCTTTGGAGCCCAGGACAGTATGTCAATTTATTTACTTTCCTGGAAAAGTTATCCCCAGGGTGTCTGATTTGTGGGGAGGATGCTGCACAAAGCCACAGGAGAGAGTTAACAAATGATCATTTCTCCTTTCACCAAAACTTCTGTCCGTTATCCTTCAGCAAGGTCATGGTAATGACCTTTGGGAATCCACAGGCGTCGTCGGCGTTGCCTGAGGACGGGGATGGCTGACAGCAGTGTCCGAAAGCAAAGCCGTCACATCAATCAAAGCCCGGTGTCTCATTCAGGGGACGCAATGCCAGTCAGATGTGTCCTGAGGAGGATGGACATACTAGGGACAGGCAATGTGTTTGCAAACATTACTGGATGCAAATGCTGGGGGTAATTGCACAGCTCCTTGAGGTGATGCTCGCTTCCCATGTCCATCTCCTGGCCTGTTTGCTTGCACCCCACTGCAGTGGCACCCAACAGACTCAGCGCCTGGAAACCTCCTCGAATTGTAGGTTGCTGGCTGGTGGAAATACTCCTATGGTGTTGGCTCCTTGGCTCTGCTCTGTAGAGCAGAGATCCAGGCACTGGGGAGGGAGCTTGTCTTGGGGACAACACAGGAGGCTCCCAGCAAGGTTCTGCTCACCGAGAGCTTGTGTCCTCCTCCTTGGCCCTGTGCAAGATCTTGGTGATGCTCCTGGGATGCTGGGATCATGTGGACACTTGCAGAGATGCTGCAATGAGACACTCTGCTGCTCTCTCTTTCCTCGGCTTTACTGGAGAAAAACCATAATATTCTCCCTCCCATAGATAATATGAAATGCAAATTCCTTTACATAATTGCCTTTATATTAAACCCCATATGCCTTCTGACTCCACATATGATTGTCCCTGAGGCTGCCAGAGTGATTAAGGGCAGAACAATTAAGGGTGATGGCCAGTAACCGGGTTCACAACCCAATTGAGCAAGTCAATATGGTCCACAGAGCTTTCCAAAACCATCAGACAGGCAATGGCCCGTCCTCTCTAGAGTCCTTACATGACCTAATGCTTCCAAGACCAGGAGCATTTTTTGGCAGTTTTCAGTAAAGGCCCTAAACACATATTATTTTCACATTTTTTTTTTTTCTTAATTTATTGAAAACAATTTGTCAAAGTCTTTGTACTATTTTTAACCACTTTATAAGCCAGCTGATAAACAAAAGAATTACAAACGACTTTTATCCTAACCCCAGAAATATTTGGCATTTCTAGCTATTCCTGTGGGTTCTGTTGCCAGTGCTAACCACTACTGACACATGGTCCAGGACTCAGAAAAAAAATACATTGTACTTCTGATTTTGATGAAATATATGGCTAGAGAGAGATAAAGTTGTTGGTACTGTTTCAGATGATCAGACAAGATGGACTTTTTCAACAGAAAGCTCTCAGCCTGCTTATCTCCATGGCAGAGATTGACTATAAAATAAAAAAGGAAGATGCAGGAAGAAGGAAAAAGGACATTTGAAATGCAGATTATGAAATAAGGCTTTCAGTTCTGACAACATTTCTTTCTCCCATTAGATATGCAGAAATTTTAAATGAGAGGTGCTCTTTTTGCGAGCTGATTAAAATGAGGTTTTGGGAGGAAAGAGAGAAAGCAAAAAAAAGTCGATATTGGTGGATATCCATTGATGGGTGGACAGCTGATGACAATGTTCCTCTTCAAGCCTCTAGTCTTGCATTTGCTCAGAAGGGAGAGAAAAGCTTAGCAGAGGATGGAAATGCCATGCTCAATCTGGAGAAGGCTCCTCCTGGAGGCTTTGCTGCCCTGAGGTGCCATGATCGGCATTATTTCAGGAGATCATTTATTTAATTTGGATACTATGCACGATGTGCTGTTGTCCTGCCAGCATTTAGTGCTAGCTCCGGTTTAGCTGTAATAAATGTGGGTTTATCACCACGCCAATTGCTTGCATCAGCCCTCGGGCACAAGAAGGCAGCGCTCCTTGACCTCTCCTTTAGTTAACACACTAAAAGCCTGTCCGGGCTCTCACCAAAGCTGGCAAATGCTGGGTAAGCACTGCTGATAAACCTTGGCTAGCTGCTATTGACCCTGCAGTTGACCTGAGATTAGATAAGGCCCAATTAATTCTTGTTCCTTTTCTTAATGAATGCTCAAGCTCAATGACAGGAGCTGAGAGTTTAAGGCAGCTAGGCTAGGGGCATGGAGGTTTGCTTTGGGTGGTTACTTAGGATTATTGTCCCCCAAAAGTGGGCTTTTGGGACATTCTGGGAGCTCCCGTGCCAGGCAGCAACAGAAGGCTTGGAGAGAGGCTTTGGAGGGGATGGGATCCACAGCAGCACTTGCACAGTGGCCCTGCTGTGATGGGAAACTTTGCTGGCGGCTTTCTGCTTCGGTCAACGGTCTTGATTAAAGAGGGATTTTGTCTTTGATTTAGAGAGCCTTTGAACACAGTGGCTAAATACTGCCTTACGGTCAAGGGTTTCCCTTTGATTTTTACATGTGGGCAGCTCCGTATGTCCCTTGGTAAGCTCTGCATTGGAATCGCTTTCCTAATAAATGTGACATTATTTTTGATGCCGTATACAATTTTTGCCTGGTCATGAAAGTGAGGCCCTTTGCAGAGAAAGCACCATCTTCAGCCCATTGTTGATGAGGAGTATTCCTTCTGCTCTGGTTTTGGAGGTGAAATAATCCACTCACTGCTGAACTTCTTTTCCCCAAGCAGACTTTAGTTCTGGGTGTTTTACCCTTCCTGAGGAAGTAGCTGCCACCTGCAGTCTGTTTTTTCTTCTTATCCATATTCATTCCCACCAGAATCCTCCTTTCCTACTTACTTTCTAAGCTTCTGGAGGCCCCTGGCTCATAGTTTCAAGCCTCCCTTAGCAAGAAATTTGTTTTTATTGCAAAAGGCAAGCTGAGATTCCCACGCTATGCTGAGGTTCCCATAGGAAATATTGAGCATGTTGCATACCGAATTATGCCGTCTGTGCTTTACAGAGGGAGAGACCCAGCCTATTTCTAACTCCAGTGTGTGGGCTGGGGCATCTCCCTCCTCCAGCACTGCGAGACGCTGCCAGGAGCTGACCACAGCGCGTGCTGCTGCTCACACCAGCCCCATCTGCCTACTCAGCTGGCAGGTCTCCAAACCTTGGACTTTGCTGGTGCCTTCATCATGCTGATCTGCAGAGCTCCCTCTAGGCAAAGTGGGCTTCAGGCAGCGATTTCCAGAGGTCACGATCCCCCTCAGCACCAGGAATATTAAGTGGAAGGTCATCAGACGCTGCTGGCAAGGCTCAGGGGAGCTCAGCACGCAGCTGCTGCGCAGGGAGCTGGAGGGACATGTGTGTCCTCCTGTGTGCGACTGCTTCTGGGCTCTTCTAGCATACTGATATTTGTAACAGGGATTAAAATACTGGTGACACCTGAGAGCAATACTTCATGTGTTTTACCGTGATGCACATTTTGCTCTGATTGAAGTCTCAGGTACCTCGCATGCTGCAGAGCTTACAGCACGTGTTGCAACGTCTCCCTTTTAGCATCCTAAGAAGCAGGGACTGCGAGAGGAGCTTGGCTTTGGCTTTGGCCCCTTCCCTCTCTCAGGGTTCATGAGGAGGCTGGAAAATGCGATCCACTCCAAACGAGTTTGTTGGTAAATGCCCTTATTCCAAAGAGCCTTAAGGACCCTTTGTGGCTTCCAAGTCGTGATTCATGATCATCTGGGCCTGGTTTGTGATCTTTGAATGCTTTTCGCTGCTAACTGTTGCAATTTCCCTGAGGCACTGGCAGAGCATGCTGCTTCTTGCCTTTCTCTGGACTTCAAAACATTCAAGTCTTTGACAAAAGTAAATCCTAGTCATTAGATGAGGATTTGGCCAGCTTTAAGTTGTTGAGCCCACCCTGGCTGGAGAGGAATTGCAGGCACCAACCTCCGTGTTTCCCACTGGCAGCCCTCCTTTTCCCTTTGCTTTAGCGGATGCTCCATCTGCTGCAGTGTCTGCAGCGCGTGGCATGGACCTCGCACATGGTGCAACAAGGCTCATGGAGAGGAAGTCCCCCGGCTCCCTGCAGCTGCTCTGCTTGTCACCAGAGGTGCTCAGCCCCTTCAGGATGGATCTCGAGGGCCAGCTGCAGAGAGACACTGCCGTGCTGGGTGGAGGTGCCTGGCGCAGGGACAATGTCACCCTGTGCCACAGCTGTGTCCATTCCTTCATGGCATCACATGCTGGGCAGCAGCAAATAACAAGGGCCTGCCTGTGTAAATCCATGCAATTTACACTCTCATCTCACCCAGTCCCCACGCAACTGGGCTGAACACCTGATTGCATCAGGCAAGAGCTGTCCTGTGCCTCATGCATTGATGAAAACTCCCAGGAAAGTCCATGAAAGACCGTGGATGAAACCCTGTCTAGCGTAGATATGTGGAGGTCATAGTCTACGTTTTTAGCACCTCAGACTGGAAATGACTGGAATTTGTGTCATGTCAAGCGTATGTCAAGCATGGCTTATATTTCACAGTGCTCTGATCTCATCACTCCAGAAGATAAGCAAACACTTGTGGTTTCACGCCTGCCGCCTCTGGTTGCAGAATAACAGCAAAGCTAAGTTTGTGGCAGATACAAAACAATCATCTTTGATCCTGGCTTTGCCAAGGCGGCTCACAGAGCAGAGCTCCTGGCAGGCAGGACCAGCTTGCAGCAGGGCTATCCTTGCCATCCAGAGCACCTTCTCCCCAGAGAGCCCATGTCCAGGTTTCTCACTGCATTTAGCAATGACAGCACCCCTCTAGACCTAGGGTTACCTTACCACATCACTGCCCGGGGCATCAGTGTTGTCTTGTTTCTACGCCAACACTAGGAGCCTCTACCTTTTCCCAAACCACACGGAGATTTTAGCCTGGCCTAGGACATTGCCAGCCAGAGCCTGCTCCAGCCTGTCTGGAGATGTACAGACTTGCCAGTTCAGCAAGCCAAGAGACTGGTGGCTAAAATGAACCCTGGCAGAAGCAGGAAGGTGTAGCACTTGAGGGGCATTTGCTTAGGACACGTACCATGTTTTCTTTCCTTACAGAGAAAGTTTCAGTAAAACCTACAGCACTTCCCCATTGCAATAGATGAAGTGCTGTTAACAGGGATCATTAAAAGCCCTCAAACAGGATGATAACTAAGGGACACCACAACGAGCGAGAAGTGGCAGCTAAAATAACTACTGTAGGGTGCTGTGATGACAGAGTGTACCAGGGCATAAATCACCTAAGTGACATCCCCTTCCCGACTGCAGGAAAGGACATTGCTTTGGGAGAGCACTGGGCACTTGCCAAGAGCGGGACCAACCCAGAACATGAGTAGCTTGAATTACTCCCTCTTTGCAAAGCCTCTCTGCACGCTGGATTTTGGATGTCATGAGCAAATCCCGTGGATAAAGGCAATGAAAGGGAAATTGGGCTTCGCATGTGAATGGTCTGCTCTTTCCCACAGGTGTTGGGAAGCAGGAAGGAGGTTTCCTTATGCAGGGAGGATTGTTCCCATGTACAAAGAGCAAGGCTAAGACAAGAGCAGGCTGGATGGAAAAATTTTCCCATCTATGATCTTAGTTTTAGGTGGATCAAATTCTAATCAGAAGAGAGGGGGAGAGTTTTACAAAAAGAACTGTTTTTTAATTTCTTGAAATAGAAAGCATCTGATATCACCTGCTTCTTATCTTGTTGTAATGACGTGTAGCTTGTTTCCCCAACCTAAAGAACTCAACTGTGCCTCCAATCAGGGCTTAATTGCTATTAATTCTGTTAACTGAATTGGGTTCTCCTGTGCTACCTACCTTCCTACTCCTTCTTCTGTAAGAAAGAGAAGGAGGAAAAGTGGGAACCTTTTTCATGGCAAAGCTCAGCTGACCCAAGGCATGTGACACCTCTGGATGATATAAAGGTGTGTGATGCATCCTTTCTTTTTTCTCCAAATGCTATGGGATGTGGATGATGAGGCTGAGAAGCAAAGAACCGAGGTGGGAAGTGTCCTCATGTGCTGCCCTGGGTAGGTGCAGATACTAGAGTAGCTGCTGGTCTAGGCCCTAAGGGCTCTATAGGTTGTGTGCTATTTCTTAAATGAAAATGAGTTCTTTGTAATAAGTAGACTTGAGGGAGGGTGCTCTAAGGGTGACTTAATCCTTCAGGGCTTTGTCTGAGAGCTGATATGTAAAGTGTGTGTGTGTGTGGGTTTTTTTTTTTTTTTTGTTCTTTTAAAATACATATCCCCTACCTAGAGGGGGGACCTCTCTGCACTGGTTCAGAGGAGCGAGCTCTTGTATCAGAGGTTTACCTGTAGCTCTCTTTGCTTGTGGACTGGTGAATGTTAGCACAGCGATGGTGTGTGCCTGCTCTTTGGAGTGACCTGCTGTGCTGGTAACTGAGCTGATTTCTGTTTGTCAGTGACTCATGCAGAGAGGTAGGCTTAGCTTAAAAATAAATTAAAAAAACAAAGTTGCTATTTTTTTTATTTATAAGTGTGGGTTGCTGTTATTTCTGGTTAGACTAAGTCTTTGAGAAGGGATTTCTGGTATCCAGAGTCCTTTCACTTTTACAAATGTACTTAGCCAAATCTCTGTAGTATTTGGTGGTGGTGCCCTCTTGAAGGCATGCAGGGACTGGCCGCAATCTCAAGCTGAATACCAAATGGTTAGGTAGCAGTGGAACGGTCTGGGCACCTTGATTTCCTAATGATCTTGGCTAAATCCTTGGGTGTCTCTCCCATAGAGTCAGTGCTGTGTATGAGCAGGTTGCGGACACGTGGTGACTGCTTTTGCAGGAGAGCTCCTTCTTGTAGCCTTCTCTCTAGGTCATGTTCCTGGGGGCTGTTGATTTCTGAGCTGTGGGTAGAGGCAAAAGTGAGTGTTTGTGGGGAAAATGCTGCCATGTAACAATATTGGAAGGTTTTACATTATAGTGGAGACTTTCAAAGCCAGAGAGCTGAAGTCAGAGATTTAATTATCTCTAGACTCAGAGAAGAGGAGGTGGTGGGGATGGAGAGGAGAGTTTTGGGGGTATGCCTTGTAAACAAGAGTTGTGAGAAGTGAGCCGATGTGTTTATAGAGACCAACAGGATAACACAGTCCTACAGACATTAATAGTCATCTTTTATATTAAAATTTATGTGCACATCTCAGTATTGGCATTTACTTAGGCTGGTCAATTAATTCCCAGTGAGAATAATGTTTTCTTGCCTTTTGTCTCCTCTCTTTATAGAGCCTGAACAAGGGCGTTATAGTTTAATGAGTGCAAAATCTAGGGTCTAGCACAATGGTCCTAGGGCTTGTTGTAACTGCTGCAGTTTAAATAATTAGTCATAATGGTAGTTCAGATGTGAAGAAGTTCTTCTCCTGGAGATTCTTCCTTTTCTAATTTAGACTGGTTTATGGAAAAAAAGGTTAAATCATCTGTCTTAATAAGCTCATTGGACTCACTCTTGTTAAACAAAGCACATACAAGTTGAACTACTGGTCAAAAAATGAAATTAAAATCTATGCTAGAATCTTGTTGGCCAATTAGCAGAAGAATAAGTTCAGAAATGATAATTATTATTCAGGAATAATAAGCCTATGAAATAGAATTTTTTTATTTCTCTTTTTTTTTCCCCCTGGAGGTGGGAGGGGTAGTTTCTAATTTCCAAATATACATGGCTAAAAGATGAGTGAATTAAAGGTTTGTAAGTTTGTAAATATGATAAAGAATCTTGACAAAAGCTGACCCATACCTGGCTGGGTTACTTGCCGGTGCTGTTGCCCAAGAGGTGGATTTGTTCTGTGCTGCTTTTGTTTTATCCTGTGCTGTAAATGCTACCTGGAGAAGTTCCTAGGACGTTCCTTTTGTGTGGAGTGTTACATCAATGTAGGGTCAAGCCAAAACTTTCAGACATGAGCAAAGCTTTATTGACCGCATGGATGCGTTGCCCAAATCCAAATGCCCCATCTAATTGGGGTGCGTGAGTAGGGTGGGGGCAGTTTCCCTGCTCATTCCCGAATGCTGCTGGGCTGGCAACACATGGGATAGATATCTAAGCAAAGGAATTACAGCTGGGGATGCAACCAGGGAAGGGAAGATGAAAGTGCATCTGGAGATCGCTAGCTGCTGTGTCCCACTGCAGGAGCCTATATCCAACTACTCCCTAAAAATCAGGCTCTATATGGGGCAACAAATTCTGTGCTCTGCTGACAGCGTTGGCCAAGATGGCACAGAAGATTGACATCTATCCTGCACACCCATGCATGAAGGGAATGGCTTAAGGAGCTGGAGTTGCTGAGCGCATCATGCAGAATTACTGCTGCTTTGGGGATTTAACTAACGTGATACTTAAGTGTTTGGCTAAGTCTGAGAACACTTTTTTCCTCTTAGTGTTCACAAAAGCTTTGCTAAAACATTGGCCAGGGGAGGCCTTGTAGATGCTTTGGCTAGTGGATAAACTCATTATGTGGGTGTATATGTATCAAGGAGGTCAGAGGAGCCCTGTCAAGAACTGAGCAAGCAAGGAAGTCAATTTAAGCACAGGATGGCTGATACCTGTGATGAGGATGAACGCAATACGCCAAGCTGGTCTGCAAACCAGCAGTGAGGTTCAAAACTCTTGTTACGATTGCTTTGTGGAGGAGAGACAGGAGCTGGAAACTCTGCACTGGCCTGAGGGAAGGCTGGGGTGTGTGAGGGGTTATCTGCCCTGCTGGGAGGACTCTGTCTTTGGGTGACATGTTTGTCTCTGAAGTAAGCTGAGCTGCTGAGCTACTACCTTTGGCTCCTATGAAGTGAGAGATGACCTGGGATGGGTTTCTCATGGTGATATTACCTACAGCTCTTTGCCGTCACTGTTGGCCTCCCCCTTGGGGGTACAGGATTTGCAGGAGAACGCAGCGACAGTGGTTTGGGTGTTGTAGCTGGTGCATGGGGATGACAGGGTCCCCAAATGGTGGTCTTGTTGGCCATCATTCCTCCAAGCTGCAAATGCTGCAGCCTTGGGTGTCTTCTGTTGTGGGGTCCCCACTGGGAGACCTGGCTCCTGGGGACAGAGGGGAGGGACAGGGTGTCAGCAGGTGGCACTGTCTGCTGAGCCAGAGGCACTGCTGGCACCTCCTGGTGCTTCTGTAGGGCCCACAACTGGGGGAGCCCAAGCTTTGCTTCCCTTTGCAGGCAACTTTACAACCAAACTCTTGGCACAGCCCCTGCGTGGGTGGGCAGTTCTGGTGTCTGATGGTGCTAGTGTGGTTTCAGGTCTGTGCTTAGCAAGACATTTAATGGCAAGCTCTATGTACTGGTTTAAATATGTATTCAGAGTGATTCTTGATGCTGATAACTAATCCCCTGGGATGGTGATTTACTTCTAAAAGATATAAAGTTTCTACCCCTACTGCTTCCAAGAACTGTAGTTGGAGAATTGCATCTTATCTGCCTGAAGTTCTTCTCCTTCAGTGAGATGCTGGATTAATCTAAATTTTCTGCTATTGATTGGATGCTGATGTACATAGCTTAATGGTTTCCCCTTTCCACACAAAAGGCTTTGATCCTGCCATCCTCACAGTATTTAGAAAGCATTTGGGGACCTCGGGATGAATGGAAATGCCTGAATGTTAGTGATTAGCAATGAGATGAGGCCCTTGGAAAGGAGGAAAAATGCACCAGTTCCCCTGAGCCCGTAGCGGTGGATTCTTCCCTATTGCTGGAGCAGCATGGAGGGAAGCAGGTCCTCCTGCTGTGGGTCTGTGCTGTTGCAAAAGTACTAAAAACCTTTCACTCTCATTTTCAAAGAGAAACCCCAGAGACAGAGATTTCTATTGAAGTGAAAGGGAGCTGGGAGATTGCTCCCTTGCCTGGTGCATCCCAAGCTGTTGTAGAAAGAGCTGGAATGTGTCTGTAGGTCCCTTCTGGGTGAGCCAGGGCCATGCTGGTGTGACAAACTACCTTCCTGCACACTCTAATTTAGAGACTGGGACCCTTTCCAGCTCTGCCTTGGCTTATGGCATTCCCTAGTCCTGATTGAGCTGAAGAAAATCCTTCTGGAAGGAAGAAAAAGTGCAATTTTGAGTGCAGGATGCACTGTGAGACAGTCTGTCCCAGCGCTCTGCAAGAGTTGAGCACTGCTAACTGCTTATGTTATGCTTTGTGTGTCTATCTAGTTTCAGTCTTGTCAAAGTTGGTGGAGACCTCCACTGGCCAACACGTACTGACAAAGTGCTAGCCCTTGTTGGCCTCTTAAGAGTACTTATTGCTGCCTGCCCTTGGGTAACCAGCTGATCCCTGCTGCTCCATGCTGGTGGCCTGCTCTGTCACTTATGTTTTGGATTATATTCCTTCCAGGTCATTGACTGGAATGATGAAGAGAAGATGCCCAAGAAGGCACCTCGTTTCATACAGGGCATGGAGTAAAACAGCCGCAGTTGGTGACAGCTCTGCTCAGGCAGCTGTGGCTGCAGCATTTCTGTGGTTCCAGGTGTCCTGTGCTCATCTAATGGCCTCAGCCTGGGGCTGGGAGTCACAGCGCTCTGCTGGGTAGTCAGTGAAGGATGGCTTTGTGAGAGGCACTTAACTCTCTCCTTCTCGCTGATGGGGAAATGGATAAAAATAAAAATGCTCATCTCTCTGTGAGGGTGGTGAGAGGATTAATTGGTTAATGCTTGCAAAGTGCTTTGAAGTTGAAATAGGGCAGGTGAATGCTAGCCATGATTGCAAAAGCTAGATGTGTCATGTGGAGGTAAAGGCTGTGCTGAGAAGGCACCATGAGCCTTAAACCTTCTGTCATTCAAATGTCAGGAGCTTTGCAGCTCAACCTGTGCTCAGAAGCCCTCAAGTACAGGGATTAGAGGGATCCGTGAATGGCAGTTGTAACACCAGGGTTTTTCCCTCCTCACTAAGTCCTGGTCTAAATTGTGCTCCTGCTCTTTGAAACGG